GTGGGAAGGGGGACGCGCAGACGGGAGTCAGGGCGCGGCCGCCCGGGATTGTGGGAAAGTGGCGGACTCCGCCGCCGGACTCGGCTCGGCTCGGCTCCGCTCGACTCCGCTCGGGACAGTTCGGAACAGCTCGGCCCAGCCCGAGAGCCCGAGATCGGGCCTTCGCGGTGGATGGTCCCGGTCTTCCAGGTCTGCGCGTGCGTGGGGAGCCATTGCTTCCCGTTGCCTGCGTCCTGGCCTGTTTTATTGGAGACTGCTCGTTCCGCTCCTCCATTCTCGCAACAAGCATGAATGGGCCGCCTACTGTCTACCAGTCATGGAGCGAGCATGAAAGTAGACCATCCTGTATTACGTGGAACAAGCATTAGTGCTAGCAAGCCTCACAATCCGAGCCTCTTGTCAAAATAAAATAATTGACATAGGTTCTGAATCAAAACTCTTCTTAAGCTACAAAATCCCGTCCCTCCATTCCTGGTATGTAACAATCTTATAAATAAGGGTGGGAGTCAGGAACATAACTTTAGGAGAAAGAGTCTACATAGGAAATTCCAGGAAGATAGTTGAAAATCAGTTATTTGCTGATGATAGACCCACTTTATGGCTCTAAAGATACAACCATTATGCCTTGCCCAGTCTCTCCCCAAACGTCAGAGTAACTTAATATTCTCTATACGACTGCTGCCTTAATTTACAAATCTTTTTACTCTTCAGTAAAACTTATTTTAGCAGACTGTGTTACTCTGACATTTTCTTGTGTCAGAAGTGGGATTGGGAAATTCATTCTTTCCAGTGCCTTGTGTCTCAAGAATTGAAGGATCCAGAGTCTTGGGACGAGTGTGGGACACTGAATCTGTCTCTAGTCACTCTCAGGGGACAACTCCACAGGCCAGCCACCCCCCTATGAGCCACTCATAGTGACCCACCATCAGGTTCCTGGCTCTGTAAATTTTTACCATTTTTTTCTGCAGAGTAGCTGATGGGTTTAAACCCTCGGGTTAGCAATGCAACTCATACCACATTAAACCACCTGAGTTCCCAGATGGAAAAGCTTCTTACATCAAACTCTGCTTCCTTGCTTTGACATTCTTTAGGGTTTATCATTGGACTGTTGTATTCTCAGTTCACACACTAAACGTCTAGCAGTTTCATAGCTAAATTATGTTTGGTGAAACTGTTCTGGGATTCTACAAAACCTAATAAGCCACAAAAACCATAAGCTCAAGATGCAAAGTGGGGTCTGCGCCCCACAGCAAGCTTCTGAAAGGACTTTCAGGGTTGACGTTAGAAGAATCAATGTCTCAGCTGTGTATAGACCCACTTTTTCTTTCTAAACAGCCCTGCACCTACCTGTTTGCATTTAGAGCACTGACAGATTTTACTAAAGGCAATTTGGAAAACCAGTGACGAAGGTTCATTTCTTTTTGAGCTGGGTAAACTAGTTTTTCTGCACCGTAAATTAGAAAAGAAAGGCTCCTACATTCAGCAAGCTTAATGGTAAGCCTATTTTAACAGAGACCTGAAAGCTTCCAGAAGATACCAGGAAAGCAAAAGAGATTCCATGCAAGGTAGCTCTTCAGACTAAATGAAATAGAGAATTGCAATGTAGAAATCCATCTGCTATGCCTGCATCCACCCAACTCAATAGCTGGCTATTATTACTTTGTATCCTTCTTTGCCTGTTGTTTCTCTTAATCTGAATGCTCTTTCTTTCCAATAAACTTTTGTCTGAAATGCCTTCTTAGAGTTCACCTTGATACAGGCACAAAGGATCTTCCCTGCATTGCTTTGATCCCTTGGGTGTACTAATAATTGTGTAATGTGGTGAAAGATTGTCTCTTCTGACACTCCAGAAGGAACAAGAGCAGAACGTCAAGTAATTTCTTAACATCCCTGATAAATGAGCTGGGATTTCCCCCTGCGAGAATGTTGGCTTCGACTTCGTATTTTAAAACACTATAAATGGAATGAACAGAATTATGTGCTCTGTCCTCCCACCCTCTTCATTCTGGGGGAATAAATCCCTGTTTGCAATGATTTATTCCTCCTCCGCCCTTTTTCTCCCCTGGTGAACTTCTGTTTCAAGTTCAGTCGTAGTCAAAGGCTCTAAACAAAATGTCATTAATTGAAATACTGTTGGTGTTGTGGTTTGCCTTCATGTCAGAACCAATTCGTCTCAGACCCTCCAGCAGGTTTTTAGAGGCAGTAAATCACACCAGAGGAAATTGTTCATCTTTCTCGCATGGAGCAGCTGGTGGATTCAAACCTCATGCCTTTGGTATAATAGCACAGTTTCTTACAACTAGGCCACCAGCACCTCCTTCTGGAATACGAACAAGGCAAAATTTATCTCAGACTTAACTTGTTTTCTATTCATTTTCATCAGTATCACCAAGGATGCATTTTTAAAAACAGTTCCTTGTGTTGTATGGTATTGCATAAACTGGATTTAAGCTGACCTCACAGGACCAATAACTTTATATTCTTTTTTTTTCTGTTTAATTTTTATCTTAAAAGCTTGCCTCTGGAATAGCATATTATGTCTGATTTTTCCATCTTAACATCAGGGCAGAGGTTGTGGCTGGCCTCTACAGTTCTCCTTGACACTATGTTAAATCACAGTTCTTTACTCTTCAAAAAAAAAGCTGCTCATTACATCTGTTTCATGATTTGAGCTTTTGAGAATTACTTTGAGAAATTTTTATATAAATTACTATATTTGAAAGATGCACAAAAGAATATTGTTGTTGTTGTTGTTGTTATGTGCCATCGAGTTGCTTGCGACTCATAGCCACCCTATGTACAAGAGCCCTGAACGCCGCTCTAACCTCATCATCTCAAACACACTCATTCCCACCACCCCAATCACAGAATCGATCCATCTCATTGAGGGTCTTCCTCTCCTGTGCCGTCCCTCCACTCTACCAAACATGATGTCCCTCTCCAAGGACCAGTCCCTCATTGCAACATGCCCAAAGTATGTCAGACAAAGCTCCAGAATCCTTGACTTCAAGGAGCATTCTGGCTTCACCCTCTCCAGGACAAACCTGTTTGTTCTTCTAGCAGTCCATGGTATATTCGACACTCTTCTCCAGCACCACAGCTCAAAGACATCAATTCTCATTCTATCATCCCTATTCACTGTCCAACTCTCTGATGCATAGCACCTAATTGCGGAAACTATAGCCTGGATCGGGCACACCTTAGTCTCCAGCCTGATGTCATTGCTCTTCAGTATTCTTGAGAGGTAATAGGTAATATTTTATTGATATAGCAAGTCTTTGTTGTTGTTGTTGTGTATCTTAGCATCTGAACCGACCCATAGCTGACCATCCAGAGGGTTTTCAGACGCAGTTAATTGCATGGGAGGAGATTGCCTATCCTTCTCCAATAGAGCAGCTGGTGGCCTCAAGCCAAGTGCCTTCACGATTGCACCACTAGGCCACCAGAGCTCCCTAAGAAGGGACAAGTACTTCTTCTTTTTTTCTTTTTAATTTCATGTGTGTGTGTGTGTGTGTGTGTGTGTGTACCATCAAATCGGATCTGACTGGTACAGGAGGGATTGCCCCTCCTTCTCCAGCAGAGGATCAGGGGGATTCAAACCACATACCTCTGGGATTGCAGTGCAGCTTCTTGCCACTAGGCCACCAGAGCTCCGGGACAAATACTTTTAAATTGCTTCACTAAACCCATTATTATAAGGCTGATTCTAACTCACGCCGACCCTATAAAGTAGAACCACCATCGTCTTCTCTATGTTTTCTGAAATCTTCTAGAAGCAAAGTGCCTCAGCTTTTTTCATGGACTAGTTGTTGGATTTAAACCACAAACCTTTTAAATCGAAGCCAAATACCTTAACCACAGTGTCACCAGAGTGCCCTACCTTGCTAAAGGATCCAGTAAAGAATGACATAACAGATTTATAAAAGTGTAATCATTTCCTGTCTCCAGATGGTAGTATCAAATTATCACTGTCATGTTGTAGTTGTTATGTGCCATCGAGTCACCTGCAACTCATAGTGACTCTATGTACAACAGCCCTAAACCCTGCTCTATCCTATGCCAATCGCATTGTCTCTGACTCACCTACCCCCATTATTCCAGTCACTGGGTCAATCCATCTCATTGACGATCTTCCTCTCTTAGTTTTTTTTTTTAAATTTTATTATTTTCTCTGTGTGTGTGTACCGTCAAGTTGGATCTGACTGGTACAGGAAGAGATGGCCCCTCCTTCTGCGGCAGAGCATCTGGTGGATTCGAACCACATATCTCTGGGGTTGCAGTGCAGCTTCTTGTCACTAGGCCACCAGAGCTCCCCCGGATCTTCCTCTCTTGAGCTGTCCCTCCACCCTCCCAAGCATGACATCCCTCTCCAAGGACTTGTCCCTCATTGCAACATGGCCAAAATATGTCAGATGAAGCTTCCGAATCCTTGCCACCCTCTCCAAGACGAAACTGTTTGTTCTCTTAGCAGTTCATATTCAATACTCTTCTCCAGCACCACAGCTCAAAGGCATCAATTCACCTTCTAGCGTCCCTAGTCATTGCCCAG